TAACACACAACAAGAACCTGGAACAAGCCAAGTGAGCTGGAACAAGTCTGGAAAATGTCTGGATAAATCTGGATGAAGTCTGGAAATCTCTGGAAAAGTCTGAAAAGAGCCTGGAAATTTCTGGAAAGGGTCGGAAAAATTCTGCCAAAGGTGCCAAAAGACCTGGGGATCATTTTCCAGAATCCGGATCAGTGTGGACAAGTCTGGATAAGGTCTGGATAAATCTAGATAAAGTCTTTAAAACTCTGGGAAACTCTTGATAAGTCTGGATATTACCTGGAAAAGTCTGGAAATCTCTGGAAACGTGTGGAAAAGACTTGGAAATTTCTGGAAAGGGTTGGAAAAATTCTGAAAAAGGTCCCAAAAGACCTGGGGATCATTTTCCAGAATCGGGATCAGTCTGAACAAATTTGGATAAAGTCTGGATTAATTTGGATGAAGTCTGAAAAACTCTAGAAAGCTCTGGATAAGTCTGGATAATGTCTGGAAATCTCTGAAAACGTCTGGAAAAAGCCTGGAAATTTCTTGAAAGTGTCGGAAAAATTCTGGAAAAGGTCTCAAAAGACCTGGGGATCATTTTCCAGAATCCGGATCAGTCTGTACAAGTGTGGATAAGGTCTGGATAAAGTCTGTAAAACTCTGGATAAGTCTGGATATTGTCTGGAAAAGTCTGGAAATCTCTTGAAACGTCTGGAAAAGACTCGGAAATTTCCGGAAAGGGTTGGAAAAATTCTGAAAAAGGTCCCAAAAGATCTCGGGATCATTTTCCAGAATCCGGATCAGTCTGAACAAGTCTGTATAAAGTCTGGAATAATCTGGATGAAGTCCGGAAAACTCTGGAAAGCTCTGGATATGTCTGGATAATGTCTGGAAACGTCTGGAACAGGCCTGGAAATTTCTTGAACGGGTCGGAAAAATTCTGGAAAAGGTCCCAAAAGACCTGGGGATCATTTTCCAGAATCCGGATCAGTCTGTACAAGTCTGGATAAATTTGGATGAAATCTGGAAGACTCTGGAAATCTCTGAATAAGTCTGGATAATGACTGGAAAAATCTGGAAATCTCTGGGGCCGAAACGCCGAACACCAAAGAAATTTAATTTTTCTGCGATTGACAAGAAATGTCAGCATTTTTGACTGGTTTACAGGTCGCAAAACTCAATATTCTGGTAAGGTTCGTTTCACCAGGGTTCATACTTGACCTTGAAACTTGAAAAAAAAGGGTTGTCGTAGATTAATTTATATGACGCATTCAATTTTTTTGACAAATTAAAATGAATGACTTCTGGTTTAAGAACCGACGAACGTTTTTGACGTCATTGATTTGTTTCAGTCAGTTTTTATTTGTTAAACGAGGAAGGCAAATGCTGGTGGCAAGTACAAACCCTGGCGAAACAAACTTTATTTCAATTATGTTTCAATAGTTGCTAAGAAATCAATTAATAACAATACAGAAAACACTTTTCCGGCCTAGGCCGGGAAAGTGATTCTCGTACTGCTGAATATTTGGAACCAAAAGACAAACAATTAACAGGTATTTAACTAATCGCAGAAAAAATAGTATGTGTATTTCGGTGGAAAAGCACATTCTCGGCCTTCGGTGTTTGCCGGCCTCGGCTACGCCTCGCACGTCAACTTACACCGTCGGCCGAGAATGTGTCACTTTTCCACCTAAATACACAATATACTATTTTTTTACTGTCTCATTTGATTTGACTATCGATAGACAGTCAACGTTGACTCTAGGAATATCTCATTGGTTAGATTTTTTAGCGGCATCCCTGGCGCCATAGGGCGGCATATTTCTTTGAAGCGCCTGCCGCAAAGAAATCAGTTTCGTCTGGAAAGATAGTGCAGTAGATATTTTTATAAATTTGATTCCTATTTGATTTGTATGGTGCCTTATGTCTTATTTTATATAAAACTGTTTTTTTAAATTTCTCGTACTCCGCCCGTGCTTCATTTATTATTTTGTAGAAATGGTAAATGCCCACGTTTGAATTGAGAATAAGTGAGAAAACTTTCTGAGGCGTGTTTTTTTTACAACTTTTAGATAAAAATTTGGGTTAGTTAGGGTCAGTCCAAAAAAATTTGCGCGCCTCTGGGGCTTCCCCCCTGAGTGTGTGCACCGCCAACTTTTCCTCTCACCAGCCGCCACTGGTTATTACAAAAAAATATAATATGTAATAATAATGGTTAACGAACAAGTACATGTTTTAAACTATTATGGTCTAAAATCTGTGATAAAATCTGCTATTTCTCTTCCACTAAAATATCTTGTCTCTTGAGTAGTGTCGTCAGTTAAAAGCGAAAATGTTAGTGTTGGATCTGATTGTGGTTCCAAACTTGGTGACGGTAGGGGAGTACTTGTATATGTCGACGAATTGGTGTCGGAGAAACGCCTTGACTGTTGAACTAACTGTATACCTTGTACAGGGTGGGCCAATTTGGACACTTTCTTATGGAAACACTCTTCATTTTTAGAGATAGAAAAAAATGAACCCCCCATTCTGAGGCTCAAATTTCATGAAATTTTGATTGGTGTAAACCGCATTTTGATATCTTCAACCATTTAGCCGCTAGAGGGCGATTCTTGATTTTGAGTAATAATGTGAAACCATCATAACTTTTTTGTTTATGGAAATTATTGATTTTTTTCTACTTGGTCCCAACGTCGAGATATTGACCAAAGTCTGTTTTTTTCCAATAGGACACCCTCATAGGTAGTGGAAGCGGTACACATGAATAACTATAAAAAAACCGCAAACTGTGATACAAGCAAGGCATTTGGTACACGTGTACTATAGACTGAAATATTCATTTTGACCCAAAGTTCCTAAAAAAAATTCCCTTAGGGATGGAGAGGGGGCATCCATCTGACCCCCCTCAAAACTGACACTTTCTATTAACGCTATATCAGTAAACCAGCTTTTATTCTGTTTTAAAACATTCTGAATGACAATCAGGTATTTAATAGTTATTTATACACCAAGTGAGTTAAATGAATGTTTATTCATGAGAAAAAAGTTTAACCCACGAGCCCTAGCGAGTGGGTTAATTTTCTTCGAATGAATAAACATTTTAACTCACGTGATGTATACAACATTTTATCCCGTTTTGTGGAAATTTAAAAAATAAAGTACAAGGAGAAATGCTGAGAGTGAGTTAAAAATATTTTAAATCACTGAGGTTTCAGATTTTTAGTTGGGCAGAGTGACTTAAAGTGCCGAGAGTGAGCCTGCATCCACATGGGTACGTGATCACGGACATCCGTATCCGTTAAACGTATACGTGAATTTTACGCCATCCAAATAGAGCATCCGTTGTAACGTATCCGTGACTGTCAATATTTTTAATTACGTCATTTCGTTTTTGTTGTTTGGTTTTTTTGTGGACTCTCATTTCTTTAATGTTTCGAAATTTTGACTTGCCGTATTTTATTTATTTCTTTGTAAATTGTCCTTCTGCCAGAATCTAGTTTTAAGAATGACTAGTAATAGTTATCTTCTACTCCTTGGAGTTATGTCCAAGAAATTGAAAAAGAAAACTGTGTGGCAACGATCAAGTTATCCTCAGAAAATTAAAAAAGTTTATTTGTGTTATTTGGCAGCTTTGTCTGCAGAAAAAAGTAGAAAAAGAGTTGTAGTAAGGAGAATGTGGACCCGACCGATGTTTAGTGAAGAAAAGAGAATGTTGCATGGCTGTGGAAGTTCCTTATTTGTGGAGTTGGAGGAGGACAGCAGTCAATTCTTTAATTATTTTAGAATGTCTGCAGATATGTTTTTTGAGCTTTTGGGCCTTCTTGAAGCTAAAATTAAGAAACAAGACTTTGTGAGAAGACCAATTGAAGCTAAAATTAGGCTAGCTCTAACACTAAGGTACTTGGCTTCTGGCGATAGTATGATTTCTATGTCCTACGCCTTCAGGGTTGCCCCACAGACAGTATCTAAGATTATAGCTGAGACGTGCGAAGCTATCTGGGAGTGCCTAAATAACAAAGTTTTAAAACAACCCACAGAGGAGGACTGGAAAACCATGGCAAAAGAGTTTGAGTTGAAGTGGGATTTTCCTCACTGTATTGGGGCCGTGGATGGGAAACATGTAGTAATTCAAGTAAGTTAACTTAATAAAATTATTATTATTAGGTGATTAATTACAAATGATATCTTAAAAATGTATTTCATTGTTACAGGCACCACCCAACAGTGGATCTTCCCACTTCAATTATAAGAATAGCCATAGTATTGTTCTTATGGCTGTTGTGGATGCCAATATGCGATTCACATTGGTAGATATTGGAGCTCCAGGGAGGAATAGTGACAGTGGTGTTTTTCGCAAAAGTATTATTGGGATGGGCTTAGAGAACCAATTAATGAAAGTTCCACGAGCATGTCCACTTGATAAGGACAGAAACTTGATAGTGCCCTATGTTGTAGTTGGAGATGAAGCATTTGCTCTCACCAATTATATGATGAGGCCCTATCCTCGAAGTGGAATACTAAATAGAAGAAAGAAGGTTTTCAACTACCGGTTAAGTAGGGCCAGGCGTATAGTAGAATGTGCTTTTGGTGTTTTGAGAGGTCGTTGGAGAATTTTTGCGAAACCAATTATTGCTTCTACAGCAACAACAAGAAAAATTGTGCAAGCCACAATTTGCTTGCTTAATTTTATTCTTAGAAGAGAATCCTCTTTGCCAATCAGGAATTGTAAATATTCCCAATTAGATTTAAGCACATTAGAACCAAGTACAGGCCTTATTGATATAGGCCGAACTGGAAGTAATGTTTATACAAGAAATGCTGCTAATCTAAGGGACAGATTGTCAGACTATTTCGAAAACATAGGTGCAGTTCCCTGGCAGTGGCAAAAAGTACAAAATAATGACTTTTAGTTGTTGTATGTAAGCAAGATGTTAAATTAAATTAAATAAAACCAAATATGTTGTGATGCATATATATTTATCAAATTTAATACATTTTCCAAAAATTAATTTGTCTGCAAATTAATCTCCTCCTCTTCTAGCATCTGGAGAAATTTGATTTGAAGGTGGTTTCTGTTTTTTAAAGGTAACCTCCTCAACCCCTCTCCGAGGAGAACTAAAAAGCCATCAACCCCATCTGGTTCCTTTTCTGGTTTTCTTAGTTCTCTAAGTACTTCATTCTGGATTCCTACATCCTGTTCTCCAGAAACAGAACCTCCTAAAATTGAATTTAAAAGTTTTGTAACAAGTATTACATATACAGAGTGGCAAAAAAGTAGCGCATACTACCTATACCTATCTGTACCTTTTTAGGACATTTTTTCATGTGAAGGTGAGCAAAAAGGTGCAGGTATTATGCGCTACTTTTTTGCCACTCTGTATAACTAATGGAGAAGGCGTAGTTCCCTAAAAATAACCTAATTTTGATAGTTTTGGAAGTTATGACACCCTGCATTGGTCATCTAAAGTAGTTTTCTTTTGACCTACATCCAGCTAATAATGTGGTTAAGATTATGCATTGGAGGTCACGAGAAACAATTCATAAATAATAATTTCAGGTATGGTTCAAAGAATGCAACATAATCTTACTCCTTCTTTTATTTCCCAAAGTAGAAGATGGAGCGACAGATGTAGGGCTTTTAAATGGAGTTGACACATTTGTTGCCATAGGAACTTCTGTGGATTGGCACTCTCGAGACATTGATGATGGAGACAAGCAGGGCAAGCTTACATTGGAAATAGTCCTAAAATAAAATAAATCATAAAATACCAATATTCTTAATTATGAGACTATCAATACATTGTATCTTCATCGGTTTCCTCCAGAAACTTCATTAAGTCATAATACTTAAAGGTGGGCCTTGGAGGTACATCTGCAGCACCAGCACCACTTGGTACATAGGCAGTTACCTTCTTCTTAGCCCTCATATAGTCATCCCTCAGTTGCCTCCATCTTTTTTTTACTAAATCTATTGTAAATAGGCCTGAGAACAAGAAACATCATATTAGGTTTAGGTCCTACATTTAATACAGTTTTAAAATTTTGAAGTATGCATTCAATAATATATCACTGTTGTCTATAATTATCTATTACCTCCCAACAGATTTGCAACCTCTTCCCACAACTGTTTAACTTTATTGCCCTGCCTTGCCTGTAGTGGGGTTCTGAAGTCCCACAGTGGCTTCCGGGCATAAACTAGGGAAATTAGAAGTTCGTCGTTCAGTTTTGCACTGGCAACTGGGGCGGCAACATTTTGACTAATTGGTAGTCCCGAGGGTAGTTCTAAAATATTAAATACAAATAAATAATAATAGATGAATGTTTCACCACGACACTATTACTCATGGCATTCACATGGCAAAATTTCGATACCATGGTAGACCCATTTATCAGAACTATATGGAGCCTAAACTTTGGAATCACATAATTTGAAGGCAGAAATAGGTAGGCACAAGTTGCCAATCTAATATAAATAAAATGGGCCTAATGTGGTGTTGAAACAAAATAATTAATATCATAAATGCTTGCATAATAATTCAGAACAAAAACTATTAATATTAAAAATAAAACTAAGTTTCTCTACTCACCCAAAGTCAAAATGTTTTGCTCATTGGCACACAGATCCAGCGTCCTATCTTGGTTTTGCGAAATTAAACGGCGAAAGCACTCGAGGTCCAGATAATTTTCGCAGTAGCTATTTATTAGAAAGCCACAATATCCACATTTGAACTGCGTTTGTTCAGCCTACATCGTCGTAAAACACAAACTAAAAAAGTTCCAAACCCCAAAAACAAAACCGCCAAAATACATTCAAAAATGTAAACATAAACAACTCGCAAAACGGACACAAAACACGGACGAAGTTGAAATTAACCAACTTCTCTCCGTAATGACCTTCACGGACGTACGTGAAACCATCCAGCACTTGATTGGTTGGTAGTTGTCACGCGGTTACAACGGATCCGTGATCACGTACCCATGTGGATGCAGGCTCAGGGTCGCATACCTTGAAGGTGACAGAACAAGAAAGCATCTGTTTGCGACCGTGATGCACTGTGAAAAACTGCGGTATAATTTTAAAGAAAAAGGGAAACTCTAAATGGAAAATGTTTTATATGAAAGTTGTTTAAAATTATTCATAAAATTTTGGAAAGATAATATTTTGTTGCTAAATCTGATAATAATCGATTTAGAAACAATTTTTTTTATTTTTCGAAATTCTTTAGACTTTCCAATATTCTTTGATCAATTTGAAGAAACTTTTGTATTGAACGTTTTTTGATTAATCAAGTAATTAGGCCGTCAAACGTCACCGCGTTTTAGGGGTGTACGGAGTCCTCTTAAGCTTCAAGCTTTGGTTAAGCATAGAGTCAACCCATGTTCACTACTAAGTTCACCCAGAGCTTTTGAAGCTTAAACTGTACCTATACATGCGACCTTAAACGGATGTTTTTTCAAATGATCTATGTAGATCGAATAAAACAGGGTTATTATTTCTCCATAACGCCCTAAAATTAACAGGACTATTATCTCTCCATAACATAACTCTCTAATAGCCCTTCAGTCACTTTCGAGTTTTAAAAGTAAATTGCGGGTTGATATTGTATGTATTTTTATTTTAGATGGGACGGCCGAAGAAAATCCAAGAAGATATTGATTTAATAAAGCGCATTTTAATCCAAAATAAAGAACTTATAGTTAATGATAAATCCGTTGTCTCAAAATTCGATGATATATGGTTGAAGCTAGCTGAAGAAATAAGTCACAAAGTATCTCCCTTGGGTCTTTACACTATAGTAGTAAAGGATTATTATCAAATAAAATCGTCTTTAGGACTTGAAACATTAATTTCTGGATTCAAAGATGAATTGTTCAATGAATCAATAAGTTTAGATAATGATAGTGACAGTAGTGTGCAGTCAGAAGACCCAAAATCGACGGAAAATAATCTGATTTTTTTTATAAAATTAAGTTTTATGGAATTCAAAGACTTATTTCCTCATTCCGAAACCTATAAAAGAAATGATACATTTGAAAAAACATGCAATGAGAGAAAAAGACGCGTTAGAGAATATATCGTTTTTGAACAACGCCATTGGACCCATGTCCTACACAAAAAAATTGAATCAGAAATGCGCTTGAGGAATGTTTGCTGTGTATTTGTTTTCAAACGCAATAAGGTTTATGTGGATGGAAAATATTTTGCTCGCTTTTACGGCAACTGTAAGCAGTGCTCATCCGAATTGTTTGGCTGTATAAAAAACAAACCTAAACAGGATGAAGACGTAACCATCGATTTGTCTGTGAGAGGAATTAATCTTTGTAAAGAAACCAATTCAAAACGGCCATTAAGTGGAAAAACCAGACAGGAACTTGGAGAGTATTTATTTACCAGGAATATTGCACCTTGTCATTACAGAAAAATGATCGCATCCAAAGAAATGAGTGAACATTCTAGTGAACCTTCTTCATTGTCCAAGCTTGGAACTTTACGAGTTGCCAAACATGAATATATAAAAAGTTTGCGTTTAGATAATGACGTAGTGTCTGCAGTTTGTAAGCTAAAAGTAGATCCACATATGAAGGGCGTAATTCAACAAATAGGATTAGATCCTTTCTTTGTTTATTTATGGACAAATACTCAAATGCATGTATATAATAAATATTGTGCCACTGAATATGCAAAGGTGAGCATCGATGCAACTGGCCATGTTGTACATAAAATTGTGAAGCCATCTGGAGAAAAATCTAGCCACATTTTTCTTTATGATTGTACAGTCAGAAGTCAGTTAACACAAACTGAGAACCAATATTCAGTGACCAATATGCTGTCAGAAAGCCAGAATGCTGTAGCTATATACTCTTGGCTAGCTCATTGGATTCATGCTGGAGCAACGGTACCAAATGAGGTTGTAACGGATATGTCCCTGGCTCTCATATACGCGTGTGTATTAGCGTTCACTAAGTTTAAAACGGTACACGAATATGTGGAACATTGTTTCGATGCTGTTATGAACCAGAAACCTTTCTTGGAAAAATGCTACGTAAGATTCGATGTAGCTCATTTTATAAAATTAGCAACTAATTGGCCTGGCCTTAAGGGCCAGCATCGCCTCACAATGCAGTTTTACTTAAAGGCTGTAGGTCAGTTGATTCAGGCAAATAACATAGTAGACATTAGAGAGTTATTGGAACTAATAAATACTGCCTCGCAGTATTAAGGATCTACGTTATTTTATTAGTGCATCAGCACTATTTTTCCAAGAAAAAAACAGTTATTGGAAGACTGTAGTAGGTGCTAAAGTATTACCTTATTTTGTATTCATAATTTCGACAGCTGATAGCAATGTTTATAAATTTCAACCTCAAAAAGTGTTTATTTTTGTTTGTGATTTTCTGCCGATACTCATTTTTCGATGCTACCCACAGTAAAATGGAAAACTACTGTAAAAAATAAATTTTCCAAGTAAAATTAGGTCACCGTCGAAAAGCGAAACGTCAAAGTCGTCCAAAATGTCAGAAATTTGAAATAAGGGAAGTTTACTGCCTCGCACTAACCATACACAAATAAAGACAAGCAGTAACCTTATTAAGGAAATCCTTATCCCAGACCCAAATGTGCATGCGTAGATGTCAAAATAAGGCTAATTTAAATACTGCTTGTCCTTATTGCACGTCCAATAACTCTCTATTACAAATATTTTAAAAGCAATCTTCACTGTCGCCTACAGTGACACAGAAGGCAAAAATGAGCATAACGAATCTACGACCTGCGAAATTAGGAAGGAGTGGCTCAAAAGACGATGTGCAACGGGAACTATTGAGGATGTCGTTGGGAGTGCAAGCGATAATATAAATACTGATGATGATGGAATAGAGTCGTTTGATACAGTTTCCAGCACAAACTCGTTTCAGGCGTGGGCTAAGGAAATTGCGACAGAGTGCGAATCTGTATCAAATCAAGAAACAGAGATTGGAGATCGGGGAAACCAGCAATGTGTACCTCAGCTTGTCAGTGATATTATAAAATACTGTAAATATTTACCAATGTGGACCAATTTAATGCAAACGTTTTTCGAAGGATCTCCTGTTATTGGAAGCTCAGCACCTGTGGAGAGTAACTTCAATAATATTAAAAATAGAATATTTGGTAACGTAACTTTGCCGATGCGTGCAGACGATTTTCTGAGAACGTTCATCTCGTGTAATGATGGTTCAGCCAAATTAGCAATAAACTCACAAAGAAGGGCAGAAGAAGTAAGTTAAAAGCAGCATTTACCTTGATAGCATTTATTATTGTAGTGAGAATTACCAATTGGTCCTAATAGACCACTTTCACGTGCAACCGAGAATGAACAATATTCTGCAAGGTTTTAGTCAGATTATTGAATAAATAAATAAATTTTCAAAAAATTAACAAAAATCAAGTGACTGAAAACGCCCTCTCATTGGCTGAAGCCGATATTCATCCGCTTGTTGCCATATCAGAAATGCGAAATTTTCATTCGACCTATTTGAGTTCACTGTACTAAGTAACAGTTGAACCTATTCTTAATTTTTGTATGGCGTTTTCGCGGCAGTTTGAAAACTCAATTTTTGAATAAATTTTTTAAAAGTACGCCTTCCTCTGGAAAAAAGAGCATACCTACAGATAATAGATGTTATGAGAATAACTAACAATGGTGAAAGTGGCCTATTGCGAACTTGTTAAAAAACTCATTGGTTAAAGGGTCGTCAACTATCCCTTTCGACCAGTCGGGTGAAAATTTTACAGTAGTTAGGTAACTATTTTAAAAATTCGCAATTTGGATTTCGTAATTTGTACTGATATAATAATATTGTTCAAGGCCGCGTTAATGGCCGCCATGTTTAAACTGTGATTGGTTGATTTTTCGAAACTTGCTTTAAGGTCTTTAAAAAAACGGCACATCAGAATTGGCTCAAATTTGGCATAAACATTATTTGATCGATTATCTACAATAGGGTACTTGCATGGAAAATTAAATTGATTATTGTTTATTGCAAACTGTAGGAAATCGAAAAAAAATCGTTACTTTCTTTTCATTTCGCCCAAATATGATTATTTCGGAAGTTATACAAATATTAAGTTTTGTATATATAGATATACTGAGCATGTGCGACGTCATAAAGTATTATACCTGATGACGTCATAGGCATATTTCATAGCGTTGTATCTCCGTCAATTTTTGACTAAGAAGAAAAAGAAAAAACACGTGTTGACTTATTTTTCATGGACTATCGAAATCAACAATAAAAAAATTTGATGCAAGGGGCCTATTCCTTATTTTGGTTTTCCGATATTCAGCCTTTTTTTCTAAATTCAGAAATCATGTTCGCAACCACCAAAACAATTAAATGTGTTGGTGATTCCATATTTGCATGTTTATCAAGCTTGGATCCGTGAAAAGCACATTTTATTGATAACCACGAAAAACTAACAAAAGCTAATTATAGAGATTGTAGATAATATATCAAATAATTTTTATGCCAATGGATTTTGGAAATTATTGCGGATTTTTTGAGATGACCTTAAAACGAATTTTGAAGGTGAAAACAG